TCGGCTGGAAAAGACCCCCAAGATCGTCGAGTCCAACCTCCGTGTTTTGGAAGGTGCTTGGGAAGCCCCCCCTCAAATCCCGGAATCATTTCGGCTGGAAAAGACCCCTAAGATCGTTGAGTCCAATCTCTGCGTTCTGGGAGGTGCTCGGAAAGCCCCAGTGCCCTCAAATCCCGGAATCATTTCAGCTGGAAAAGACCCTAAGACCATCGAGTCCAACCTCCATGTTTTGGCAGGTGCTTGGAAAGCCCCAGTGCCCTCAAATCCCAGAATCATTTTGGCTGGAAAAGACCCCTAAGATCACTGAGTCCATCCTCCGTGTTTTGGCAGGTGCTTGGAAAGCCCCAGCGCCCTCAAATCCCAGAATCATTTCAGCTGGAAAAGATCCCCAAGATCGTCGAGTCCAACCTCCGTGTTTTGGCAAGTGCTTGGAAAGCCCCAGCACCCTCAAATCCCGGAATCATTTCAGCTGGAAAAGACCCCTAGGATTGTCGAGTCCATCCTCTGTGTTTTGGAAGGTGCTTGGGAAGCCCCCCCTCAAATCCCAGAATCATTTCGGCTGGAAAAGACCCCCAAGATCGTCGGGTCCAACCTCCACGTTTTGGGAGGTGCTCGGAAAGCCCCAGTGCCCTCAAATCCCAGAATCATTTTGGTTGGAAAAGACCCTCCAAGACCATCAAGTCCAATCTTTGCCCACTCACCTCGTCCACAAATTACTCCTCCAACCCCAAATTCCCCCTCCGACCCCAAATTCCCAGGCTCCTCTTGCAGGGCGGGAGGACGACGGCGGGTTCTGCTCCGTGCATTCCCATCCCTCTCTTCCATCCCCTTTCCCCGTATCCCAAGCCCAGACCCCCACTGAGACCCCCCCAAGCTGATGCTGGTCCTTAAAGGTCACCTCCAAGCCCCCTCCCTGTTCCTGCCACGCATGGAGCCGGTGTTTTATCCTGTTCCAGGATTAAAAGGGCACTTTCCTCGAATTCTGAAGGTTTAACTGGGGAATTCAGCTCATTCCATAATAACAACTTGTCCCTCTCCTTATGTATGATCCCAACAATTTGTGTGTCGACTCCAGGCTCCACAAGCACAAACCCACCATTATCACCCCCAAAATCCCGACGCCGGTTACGCGAGGACTCATCCTGACCATTGACACAGCTCCGAATCCCGGAATCCTGGGATATTCTGAGCTGGGAGGGACCCACCAGGATCACCGAGCCCAGGTGAAGTGGCCACCACGGAGCGTTCGGTCCTTCAGCAGCACAGACAGCCTCATCCCGCCTCCTTTTGGGATTCCTCTTTCCCGTCAGGTTTTGGGAGCCCCTTGATTCTCCCGTGCCCCCAAACCCCTTGGATGAGCGTTAGGATGAGACCCAAGTATGGGCAGGCCCACGGGACAACATTCCCGTGTCCAGACTCGCTGCATTCCTTTGGCGGGGAAGCTGCTTCCTCATCGGATGATTTTACAGCCATCCGTGATTCCTGCCTGGTTTTCCTTCCCTATGGATCCTCCAGCATCTGTTTTCCCGATGCCACGTGATCCCCCGGGCGAAGGAGCGCGGACGGAATGTGTGCCCTGACCTCACCTCCATGGAGTTCCTCCCAGCATTCCCAAATGAACCAGTTCCTCCTCCCCACACCCAAAAAGCCTGGAAATCATCGTTCCCTGCACGGACACGCTGGATAAAGAGGAAAAGGACACCCTCGCTGCCAAGTTATTCCAGGCTGCCAAGTGAAATCCAGTGCCTTCCCCGGCCCATCCAACTTTCAACAGCCTTCTTATCCATGGATTAATTGCTCCAACTTCATCCCAGAGATAAAAACCCCACTCCGGGAACAATTCCCTGGCCCCGCTGCCAGGATCAAAAGGGAATTGAACCGGGGCCAAGGAGAGAGAAGGAGAGGGGAAGAAATCCCTGGAAAGGGAAGCCGAGAGGAGCTCTCCTGGCCGGAATTATCCCTCGCTGTTCCCACCATGCTGCAGTCCGCAGTGCACTCCTGTGACTTCAGGAATATGTTGTTAATCTCGGGAATTCTCTTTCCGACAGCATTGAGGCATCTCAGCCCTCCCTGGCTCGAAGTGATTGAAGATCTTTGGTGCCCACTCCGGCCTGGATTTGGTGCTGGATTCATCCCGCTCCAGCTGCACGGGAAGCAGGGATTTAGGATGGGAAGGGCTCCTACTGAGCCACATCCTGTGCCAGCTGAGCTGGGGGTGGGAATTCCATCATTCCTGCCACAAAATCCTGTGATTTGTGAGCCTGTTGTGAGATCCAGAGGCTGCACATCCCTCTGGAGAAGGATGGGAGAGGAAAAGGGAAGTGGGGAGCAACATCCCACTAAAAACCTCCCGGCCAGCGCTGGGGAGGAGCAGGAACATTCCCTGTCTTGCCATCTCCATCACCTCTGCTCCTGGAGAAACAGCCCTGGAGCAGCCCAAAGTCCCGTTCCCTACTGGATTTTCCAGAATTAGGAACCAAGGAAAACGTTGGAGAAGCAGAAACGCAGCAAAACTCCGCCAGCGAAACTCCAAAGACGTTTCCTCTCACGGCTCCAACGGTTTTCCCACTTTTTTCCCCCCACAGTTTCAAACTGAAACGTTTCCCTGAACTTTCTCTGAGATAAAAAGGTACGTGCCAGAATTCCCAAGGAGTTCTGCTCATGCTGAAACCACATTTTCCCAAAATTTCTACCCATTTCCGAAGCGGATAATCCCAGATTAAAGCAGCTCTTCCCTCAAACTCGCAGCCTGACAAACACCCCATCCCATTTCCCACTGGAACTTTGGATTTCCAAGTTTCCAAGCTATTTCCCGCCGGGAAACACGTGGGATGGATGGTCCAAAGGTCCTTCTGTTGGTCCAGTGGTGCATCCCACTGGAACACCCTCCTGTCAGGCACTGCTGTGCTTCCATCATGGGAATGAGATTGGATTCATGCTTGGGGAATTTATGGGAAAGGAAGGAGTTGATGACAAAATATGGGATAAAATCCTCCCACATGGTTTCAGGAGCAAACACAAGGATTTGTGCCCAGATGGGAGACCCAGTTTGGGCTCCCAGTGTGAACTGGTTTGGAGACTCCCAAGGAACATCAATCCAACAAAACTCATGGAGAGCAGCAGGGAATAACCCTCCTGCTCAGAAAACGGGACCAGCTCCCAGCACACGGGAGGAAAAGCAGAGGATGTGATTCCTACCTGGCTTCTCCTCCGGCTCATCCTCATCCTTCTCTACTTTGCAGCTCTGGAATCTGGGATATTCCGGGGATCGGAGGGAGATGAAGGATGGAAGCTTCTGCAGGCAGCTCGTCGGCTTGGCGTCCTCCTCTTTCCCAAACTTCCCCTCCTGCTCCGCACTGGAAGGTCCGGGAATTTCCCCATCGTCATGGAGCTGAGCTGGATCATTCCTGCAGGAGGCAGATAGGGCAAATATTAAGGAAAAATGAAACAATCCCGCTTGGCAACGCTGGGAATGGCACCACATGGCCCAGGGCTCCCGGGGCTCCATCCCAGGCCGCTCCGTATCCCTGGAGCCAACAGGGATTCAGCCAGAGCAACTCCCTCCCCAGCTGGATTCCCCGCCCTGCGCTTCCCTGCCAGTTTTCCAGCTCCTCAGATTCTCATGGAGGCTCCTGTTTGGGAGTGAGCAGAGGGAAGGGGAGCAGGGATGGCTCGGAGATGTCCCGCTGGGCTTGGCTCATTCCCAACCCCACCTCTCTCTTTCAGGCAAACCCGACACTCCGGCTTCTTTCCCATCTCCCACCACGGTGCCAATAAAGGGAAAAAAAAACCCCTCTGGAGCAGCTTCCAAGCCAGGGTGTGCTCCCATCCCCGCAGGAGGATGCCAGGAGCCTCCCAGCCACCCAGCCCTGCGCTCATCCCTCCTTCCCTAAAAAGAGCAGGGAGCTATTTTACACCTCGTTCACACCGGGAACGTGAGCTGGGTGTCATTCCAAGGCTCTTCTGTCACCCGGGATAAGTTGGGAGAACCTGCTGAGTGCTTGTCCCCCCTCTGCTACCTTACAAGGCAGGGCCAGGACGAGGCCCAGGCCCGGGAAGGAGCCTGGACCAGGCTGGCACAGCTCCCAGATCCCTGTGTTTCCATCCCACCTTCGCTCCCACCTCCCGCTGGGAAGAGCTACGGAGAAGCCGAGTGCCCGACTCCGGGTTTTCTCCTCCCACTCGGAGCGGGACTTTTAGACTTCGGCTTTTAAAGCCCCTCTCTGGCTTTAAGTTGAATTCCATTGGGATGCAGGAACTGCTTGAATTCCATTGGGAATGTCCTTCAGGAAGGGCTCAGGGGTGAGGGAAAGGAAGGGGAGGATGTGCCGAGGCCAGGGAAATCCGTCTCCTTGCGAGGATGAGGATCAACGTGTCCATCATCTGCCTGGGGGTCCAGCCCAGCACCCAAAAACACCAGGAAGAGCTCAGAGAGCTTCCAAGGACCCAACCCAGCATCCAACTGTTTTCCAAAGCCTCTGGTACCTCCGTGTCCACCCGGCGGTGAATCCAATCCCTCCGTGCCGTGCCGAGGGCTCAGCTCTGCTCTCCACATGGATATATAAGGAAGAGGGATGGTGGTTTCCAATTTTCCCCCAGAGCTATGGATAAGCTGGACCCACTTCCAGCAGTGGAATCCCCATTCCAGGGCTCTTCCATCTCCCAGGTCCACAAAAGCCTCGGAGACACCCGGAGCTGCCTGAGCCCTGGATGGCGCATTCCCAAGGACGAATCCTCTCTTCCCTCTCCATCAGCTCCCTCAAACACAAACACTGCCCAACCCTCCCTCCATCAGGAGGATAAATAAAATAAAAACCTTAAAATAAACCAGGACACAAGACCTGGAAGAGGAAAAACCCGGAGCGGGTCGGGAAGGAAACCGTTTAATCTGGCAAAAACGAGTTCATCCTGCTTTTTCCTACCTGTCCGGCTCCTCCTTGACCCATCTCCACTTGGAAGGGGGATCGGCGGCGTCTCCGTCTCCTCCCGCCTCCTTGGGGTGCCGCCTCTTCTGGGGGTGCAGGAGTTTGCAATGGACACCCTTGGGACAGACGCCCTTCCGGGCAAAGTCGGGACAAACCAGCGTGTGCTTCTTCTTGCACTGCCAGGGAAGGAGAGAGCGGCGTCGGGAAAACTGGGAAAACCCCCCGTGGGAGCACGGGAAGGGCTCCCGTGGGTGCCACTGACATCTCGCTAAAGGGAGGGGAGGATGTGTTGGTGTTCCCTTCTCCGGATCAAAATCCTACTCCACAACAAAACACTCTTACAAATAACATTCTCCTCTGGGATGTTCCAGGCTCACCCTCAGTTTTCCAAGTGATTTCATGGATCCAAGTGATTTTATGGATGCGGCGAGTTTGCCACCAAAGCCTTGATGGCAATGATTTACCCCCAAGGTGGCCATGCTAGGAGGTCCCCAAAGAGGTTAATTGGGCTGGAGAAGCTGGTTTTGGAGAGGACACATTGTCCCAGACATTCTCAGGACTTGGGAAGGAGCAGGGAAGAGCAGGAATAAAGTGCTTTTAGGACTTATTTTGGGATTGCTGCCCAGCCCTGAGGAAGGTGGTTGAAGGCTGGAGCTCAACCTGCTCTGCCCAGGGCTCAGAAATGAGCTTGGTTGATGCTCTCCCATCCCAGGAAGCTTAGTGTGGTCATGGAATGGGGCTGGAAAAACGATGGCATCCTGATGTTCCTCCCTAAAAGTGCTTCTGGCACTTCCAGACCCGTCGGTGGGAGGGAGGAGTCATCGGCGCTCCAGAGCTTCCCCACAAAGCTTCCTGCTGGGAAAGGGCACTTTTTGGTAGTGGGAAAAGGCAGGGAAGAGATGCAGGCAGGGAAGAGGAGATGCCTTCAGGTGGGATTTCCCTCAAGGTGACCGGGAATGTTGGTGGGGGGAAGGAGAAGGAACAACCTCTCTTGAATCTCCGACTATTCCCAACCCCGTCACAGCAAAACTCAGCAACTGAGAGAGTTCATTCCAATGTATCCCAAGGGATGAAGGGCAGGAGCAGGTCCTGGAGCCCTGTTAGTCCCACTCCCAGCCAGGATGCTCCATCCCACCCAGCTTGGCTTTCGCAGGAAGCGCCACATCCATGGTGGGACTCAACCCAACCCACCCAGCACAACCAAGGATTCCCAACGCCAACATTCCCTCGGTGACCCTCTCCACAAGAAAAGTGTGGTTTTCCAACCATGTGGCTCCTTCCAAACTCAGAAGCCCACCCAGCAAATCTCCTCGCCCCCATTTTGCACGGATCTAGGGGGGAAACCGGGATGAATCCACCGGGAAAGGAAACACCGGGACGGTTTCAGGATCATTCTGAAGGGGGGAGCTCCTGCCCTTTTCACGGAACGTGACTCCGGGGACACGGGAGCGGCTCCCCGTGCTGACCTTTGGGATGAACGGGATCCCTGCTGAGCCCTGGGAGAGCTCTCCTTGAAAAGGCAGAAGGGTTTGGCAGCTCTGCCTCCCGGGGATCCGGCACCGGAGCGAGGAGCTCGTCTGCCGGAGGTTGGGATGGTGCTGAGCAGCAGGAGGGCTGGGATGCAGACGGACACACGGATATAGTGGCTCCGTGGGGGGGGATGGCGCTGCTTTTCCACTAAAAATTCATAGAAAACCCCCCATTTCTGTGACTTTCCACCTCTGTCAGAAGCCAAGGGACAACTTGAAAGTCAAGCTGTGGCTCTGCCGTTACTCCAAAATCCCATGTTTCAGAGAAATATGGGATAATAAAATGGATTGGGTGGGAAGGGACCTTAAAATCACCCAGACCAACCCCCTGCCATGGGCAGGGACACTTCCCACTATTCCAGGTTGCTCCAACCTGACCTGGAACACTTCCAGGGATCCAGGGGCAGCCACAGCTTCTCTGGAAATTCCATTCCAGCCCCTCACCACCCTCCCAACCAAGAATTCCTTCCCAATATCCCACCTAACTCTCTGGCAGTGGGAAGCCATTCCCTGTGTGCTGTCCCTCCATCCCTTGTCCCAAGTCCCTCTCCAGCTCTCCTGGAGCCCCATTAGGTCCTGCAAGGGGCTCTGAGGTCTCCCTGGATCCTTCCCTTCTCCAGGTGAACACCCCCAGCTCTCCCAGCCTGGCTCTCCAGAGGCTCCTGTCTCCATTTTCCTCATTTTCCCACCTCACCCGCAGACAGGACACATCCCGGACCAAAGACAAATGCTTGGAAAAGGCAGTGACAGGACAGGAATTCAAAGAGAGGAATTTCTCCCAAAATATTAATGAGAAGAAAAGCAAATCCCTCCACCTGAAAACTGCCTTAAAAAAAAGGGAAACGAAATTAGGGAAGAGGAAAAATAACAGCACGAGACTGTGGGGATGGGAAACCCCCTGGGGCAGGGTCCTGGTCCAACCATCCCAGTTCCTGGAATTACAGAATATCCCGAGTTGGAAAGCCCCCCCCACAAGGATCAATGACTCCAAATCCTGGCTCTGCACAGGACAACCCCACAAATCCCTGAAAAGCGAGACCCACTTCTGGATAGAGGTTTTCCAGCCCTAAATGGGCTTGGAAAGGAGAAGAGCAGGGAAAAAAAGGAGCCTCGGCCTCCAAAACCCGCACGGATGCTACACTGAGGGATGCTGCTGTTTTTGGGGAAAAGCCAAGGAACGTGGCTGCTTCTTCCCCGAGGGATGGGACAGCGCCGGGATCGGGATGTGCTCCGAGCTCCCGAGTCAATCCCATGTTTGTTGGCTCCATGGCAAAAAGATACTTAATAAAGCAAACAAACCGTGTGTGACTAATCCCGGGGCCGCGCTCCCGGCTCAGGTTCCTAATGGCTTTTCCACGCCTTTCCCAACCCTCCTTCCGGAACGCCCCGTCCACACCCCGCTGTTTGGGGGGCTGGGATGGCAGGGCTTGGGATCGCCTTCCCCGCTGGAAAAGCCCCTTCTGTTTATTTACAGCGGCCTCCCCCGCTCCTGGTCCCGCGGGAACGAGGCGCCGGGTTTGCCGCAGGGAATTTTCGCTTCTCCGCCGGGACGAGGCCGAGCCGGGGCTGTGGGGTGGTGCTGGGAGCCATCTGATCCCTTCCACCTGTCGGGGTGGCTAATTATACCCCCCCAACCCACCCCCGGGACCCCCGCCAGCCCCACAGGTTGGGCCATAAAAAGGGGGAGGCAAAAAAAATTCCGACGGGGAAAAAACCCGTCGGGGGCGAAACCTCGCCCCAACCTTCCAGCGGCGGGAGGGAGGTGCCACGATCCCGCTGATGATCCCGCTGATGATCCTGCTGTGGGGTTCCCCCCTTGGCCTGCCCGGGGTTGGGATGGTGCCCAGCTGGCAATTCCCGTGTCCAGGACTGCCAAGAAAGCTCCGGGTGAATTCCAAGGTGCCGTTGGCCTTAAATGGTCCAATGAATCCCGACGTGCCCCGGGAAAGCGGGATTGGGATGAGGGGCTTTGCAGGGCCCGGCCTTCTTTAGCACGGAGCTGGCAAAGGAGGAGGAGGAGGAGGAGGAGGCAGCAGCTGGTGGAAAGGCCTCGGGAATGATGTTAACGAGGTTTTTCCATGGACAAGCTCGACGGGAGGAGGTGGAGGGTGGGAGGAAGGCCAGGTCGGGTCACTGGGCCAAGTACCCGGCACCCGCTGACCCAACGATCCCATCCAGCCCGGCATTCCCGAGCACTTTGCTCAGGGTGAACTTCTCAGGTGTCTCCAGGCTTATCCCACCTCCTGCTCCTTTCCCAGGAGAGGGACAAGAGATGGCCTTTGATGATCCTTGGGAGGTCCCTCCCAACTCGGAAGTGCTGGAGCGTCTTCCCATCTCCTTGGACCATTGGATCTGTGTCCCAACTCCCTCAGTCCACTGTGGTGGACACAAATCCCACCAGACAGACTTTTTGGGGAGATGGGAGCACTAAAACCATGAGTTATTCCCCAAAACTCCAGCGCCTCAACTCCAGTATTTCCGATTTTTTTAAACCCCTCTGGAGCATCCCATGGAGCTTCACCAGAGCTTTTCCAGCAGCAGGATTAACCACCTGGATGGCTGTCTTCCCATCTCCTTGGACCTGTGTCCAAGTCCCTCCATCTGCTGTGATGGACACAAATCCCACCAGCCAGACATTTTGGGGAGATAGGAGCACTAAACCCACGAGTTATTCCCCAAAACTCAAGCGCCTCAACTCAAGTATTCCCTAGTCTTTTAAACCCCTCTGGAGCATCTCATGCAGCTTCACTGGAGCTATTCCAGGTATCCCCCAAGTTGAGCAGCAGGATTAACCACCTGGATGGCTGTCTTCCCATCTCCTCAGACCTGTGTCCCTCCATCCCCCGTGATGGACACAAATCCCACCAGCCAGACTTTTTGGGGAGATGGGAGCAACTTTATTCCCCAAAACTCAAGCGCCTCAACTCCAGCATTCCCTATTTTTTTAAACCCCTCTCGAGCATCCCACGGAGCTTCACCAGAGCTTTTCCAGCAGCAGGATTAACCACCTGGATGGCTGTCAGACTCTTTTAATGTCCCCCTGAGTGGCTGTTGGGAAGCGGCGGCTGGAGGTGCCGGAGCGTTTTCCGAAGTGACAGCCAGGAAATGGCTTTTTTTTTTTTCCCCCGATGGCTTTGCAATAATTGGGTGCAGATGGAAACAGCCTCGGGACAAAAAAAAAAAGAAAAAATATTCCCAGCTCCCACCCTGTCGTTTAAAACCTGGAGGGCGACGCATCCCCAGCATCATTCCACGGTGGAATTTAACCCCCGCGGTTATCCGGAGGGATTTGCTCCAAAAAAAAAAGGTTTCTGCCCTCCAAACGGGGTTTGGTGCCCTAGAAAAATGCCTGATATAGGATGGTCTCCTCTAAATCCTCGCTAGGATTTGGGATCTAAGTGTTCTCTAGGATCTACCACCAACCTCCTCCCTTGGAATTTGTGGGAAATAAAACAACATTGGAACAGAAATACCTCCGGGGCTGGAGCGAGAACGGGATGTTTGGAAAATCATTGGGAAAATCGTATTTATGAGGCAGAAAAGTGGTTGGGAGGGGATCCCTGCCCAGGGCAGGGCTTTGGAACAAGAGGGGTTTTAAGGTCCCTTCCAATCCAAGCCATTCCATGATTCTGTGGATCAACGGCACC